AACCCAGCGCCTCGCACGTGCTAGGCGAGCACTCTACCGCTGGGCCACAACCCCATCCCTAATAATTGTGCATATTTACGGAGTACAATATGATGTTTTGATACATATCAAATCAGAATAATTGGCATATCCAGTACCTTAAACATTWATCACTTCCCTATAATAAGACCACTGAAAAATCTTTTCTTCTAGCTTAAAAACAAAACAAAAACTTTAAAAAAGTAAAAATCATTCTTAACGCAACCATAGAAAACCAGACTGTGGTCCAAATTTTGCCTTCAGGCCTTAATTTGCCAACCCCTGTTCTATACCAAAGATGTTCAATAGAACTTTCTTCAGTGATATAAATGTTCTTCTACATCTGCACTGTCAAATATGGTAGTGCCTACCTACATGTGGGTCCTGAACACTTGAAATATGCTGGTATGACCTGAGGAACTGAAATGTATATTTTATATAGTGGCTGCTGTTTAGCATAGTACAACTCTAGACTACCTAATATTTCTGCCTAGAAGTTTGGCAAGCATATCAGAGACAATGGGCCCAACTTATCTTACCTGGCATAACCAATGATAAGGCTTCCAAATACAGTCCCAATCCCAGCCCCAGAGCCAGCCACCCCAACTGTGGCAGCCCCAGCCCCAATGAACTTGGCTGCTGTGTCAATGTCCCTTGAAATGGTGCTGGTTTGGAAGCGGCGGCRAGGGATAAGTGAGGTCAGGGGACATGGGACTGCCAAGCTGCTGAAGCTCTGTGAAGAAGAGATAGGAAGAAGATAAAGATTTTTTTGAAATCCCGTTTTTGCTTTGGAAACATTTTTTACTCTTTAAGCCCTCTATGATGCCAAATCCTACAGTCTCCCTGGAAAACTTCTGAAAATGCTGGCAAGCAGAGGTGGACTTCAAATGCCTTCAATATTTTAGAAGTGTAAGACAGAGACTCTAGCCTCTTCTTGGTAATGTGGGACCTAAAGTCAATTAGACTAGGCTAAGTAATAGCAGTTAGCAGTAGCACATATAGGCATGTACTGCCAGAAAAACCGAAACACAAAAACATACATGGTATTACCTGTCTTCCACCTCCACCTAAACCAATGGCCTTGATTCTTCCAGAATTTTATTCTGTGATGACTGTCCTCAGGACTCCCTCTACTGGTTCTGGCAGGTAACCTTCCAWACCTTTTACCCCCAAACCACAGTCCCAACTCCACCTGTTAAGGTACCTCATATGTCAGTGTCTCTGGTCGGTTCAGAACCACTGCAGACAGTGGTCGGCTCAGCAGATGAGAGGTGCTCCTGACCTAGTGGGAATGACACAAGGGCAGGAAGGTCAGGAAGGCTGTGGAGAGAACTTTCAGAGCCATACAAGTTATTACTTCATAGATAAAATCTTTTTTCTCTGGTGCCCCTTCCATTCTTTTCATAATTAGTCAGAATTTTGGATTACTCTTTGTCTTAGCAAATTCTGTCTGCTTTTTTGAGATAGGGTCTTGCTGTGTAGCTTGGGCTGGCCCTGAACTCCTCACCTCAAGCAGTGATCCTGATTCAGCCTCTGAAGCAGCTGGGACTAGAGATGCCCAGCTTTAGCAAACTGTACATTCCCCCACCACTGGTGTGGTGGCATCACCTATAATCCCACCAACTCCATAGGCTGAGGCAGGAGAATTCCAAGACTGAGGCCAGTCCAGGCAACTTAGTGGACCTTGTCTCAAGATGAAAACTAAAAAGGGCTGGGAATGTGGCTCAATGGAAGAGTACTCCTGGGCTGAATTCTTAGTACCACCAAACAGTAGGGGTAGATACATCACCATATCTCTTGTTCTCAGTCTTTAAGAAAGTCTACTTCCTTTTGGGCTAAAAGGGTATTATTGTAAACCCTTGCTGTACCTTTTTACAGTCCTTAAGAACAAGAAAAAATTTAAGCCTTGGAATTATCTGATAATGGTCAGCCCACAAAAAGGAAGCCAAGGTTTGGGGCATCTTTCACATCCTCTGGAAAATAAACTCAAAGATCCACACTCAACATTTACCTCCTCCTGGTAGCCTTTACTAACTAACCCCAATATCTTCAAAACACACATAGTAAGTAACAGCTAGGTCTTTAAAGTCAGATAGATCTACACTCCAATTTTAACTCTTTTATCAGCTGTGCAATCTTGGGATCAGTCATTTAAATTTTTCTGTCTTCTTATCTATCAAGTGGGAACAATATCAGAGTTGATTTGAGGAATAAATTAGATGAAGTATACAAATTGGTAAACTTGATGCTAGGCACATGGGAAATAATAAATGGTGCCTACTAACAGCATTACTCCTTTTAACTTATGAGAAATGCCTCTCCCATTTTTTTTTTTTTTTTTTGGGTACTAAAAATTGAACCCAGGGGGCTGGGGATGTGGCTCAAGCGGTAGCGCGCTCGCCTGGCATGCGTGCGGCCCGGGTTCGATCCTCAGCACCACATACTAACAATGATGTTGTGTCCCTCGAGAACTAAGAAAAAATAAATAAATGTTAAAATTCTCTCTCTCTCTCTGTCCCCCTCTCTCTCTCACTCTCTCTTAAAAAAAAAAAAAAAAAAAATTGAACCCAGGGGCACTTTACCACTGAGCTATATCCTCAGCCCTTTTTATTTTGAGACAGGGTCTCACTAAGTTGCTGTGGCTGGCTTTAAACTTATGGTCCTCCTGCCTCAGCCTCCCACACTGCTGGGATTTCAGATGTGTACCCCACCTTGATCTATCTAATTTTTATTTATTTACTTTTTTTGGTACCAGGTATTGAACCCAGGGGTGCTTATCCACTAAGCCACATCCCCATCCCTTTTTAAATATTTTATTTAGAGACAGGGTCTCGATAAGTTTCTTAGGGCCTTGCTAAATTGCTGAGGCTGGCTTTGAACTTGTGATCCTCCTACTTCAGCCTCCAGAGCCACTGGGATTACAGACGTGTGCCACTGCACCCAGCCATCTATTTTRCTTCTGAGCCAAATGCTTTTCCAGTGTGTATTTAAGCTTTTTTTAAAACCAAATTTCAGTTCCTAGAATGAACTCCTAGCTACAGTTCACTGAGAATCCTATTCCCAATTCATACACAGACCAAACTATGTATCAACTGTATGCTTACCACTTCTGGCTGGGTGCCAATGTACAGAAACATATAGTTTGATTAGGAATAACATGATCTTGGTTAWGGATGTGTAAGAATTAGCTGGCCTCCAAAGAATATAGGATAGGGAAGTACCTTGGAAACAATTTACACTCTTTTATCAGGCTACCAGAGCAAAGAGCCTTCCCTGCTCAAGAATCTCACTCACACCCCCAAAACCCAGCTGTGAAAAACAAGGTCTGACAAGAAAAGAAAAACTCTCCCAGAAAAAGCAGGTACTCACCAAGGAGTGGGTGGAGAGGAACCTGGAGCAGGCATACATTTTCAGGGGGTGAGGGGCCGTGGCAAGAAAGCTGGAATTACAGAAGCAGCATTATAAATACTGTCCTTGCTCACTAAATTTGCTCTGGAAAGCTTAACTGGCCCAGAGAGCAGAAAGATTGATCAGTAAAGATGGAATAAGAATCTTGATATTGTGTTTTCCTCTGGAAACTCCATAGAGCTTCCAAGATTTTCTTATCATCAAATGATGTTCTCTTGTTCTGAACAAATAAGTCACTTGGTTCTACTTTGATACCTATAACCCATTTCCACAGTCTTTTTAAATTTTCAGTGTTGGGGAATAAACCCAGGACCTCAATCATGCTAAGCAAGTGCTCTACCACTGAGACACATCCCAGCCCCTAAAGACTAGAGTCTTTGTACTCTTGACAGATACTTGTTGAAGGCCAAGACACTGGAAGGACTCCAACAATCTTTTTTACTGAATTACTTAGCAGTACTTGACACTCAAAACACTTTTCCTATATTAACTAACAGCATGAGGCAGATCAATGAGAAACTCTAATAATCCTCAACAGCAATGACTATTAAACTATTCATTTCACTATTATACTATAGTATTAAATTTTGCATCCCCAAGATCTAAGTAAGGGGCTGGGGATGTGGCTCAAGCGGTAGCGCGCTCCCCTGGCATGCGTGCGGCCCCGGGTTCGATCCTCAGCACCACATACCAACAAAGATGTTGTGTCCGCCGAGAACTTAAAAGTAAATATTTAAAAAAAAAAAAAGATCTAAGTAAGTCCTTACCCCTACAGGTGTCTAAACTGGTAAAGCTGAACTTACCAGAGAA